TGTTGTTGGGGGCAATATGCTGACTCTGTAAACCGCTTAGAGAGGGCTGAAAGCCCTATGAAGCGGTATATAAGTCTAACTGCTATTGCTAAGTGGCCATACAATGAATGGACATACAAATAAAATCAATTATTCAGTAGACACCCAACCCCACTGCAAAAACATTTTTTGTATTCAGAATTACTTGATAGCTGTAAAATAAAAAAGCCTATGCAACATGATAGCTAAATAAAATTCTGAATACTAATTCCATATTATTGAAATGGTTATTAAATTGACCAATTTATTCCAGAACATACTCACAACCGAGCAGTATTATATTACTAGATAATGTTTCAGATATTAAAAAACTAGCTATTTTGAAATAATTCAAATATTCAAAATTTAATGAACTTGGACAACCCACTTTTCTGAGGAAACCTGATGGAAAACATTGCCTTGGGCTGTTATGTTGGATGAATGAATTTTATATAGGTAGGAACTTGTACACCTTGCTTTTTTGAATTAAATAAATTCTAATGCCAAACTCGTTGAGCCTCAGTACTCTTTCTAATGAAAGGGCTCTAATTGTTAAATCTGGATATTTTTTTCTTAACAATACAGTAGTTCTCAATAGTGAAAAATTACCTGTTAAATTTTTGCCACAGAATCCATTTTTTATGAGAGAACTTAGCATTTGGACTAATAGTCAATTAGATCTTAGTGATCTATAATAAAACCTTTGTTAAGAACTGATGAAAGCTATAATAAACTGACATCAGCATATTGTGCTTATTAGTCATAATTGAAATATATTTCCAACACAATTGGCAAGTAGTGGGATTTCCTGACAGAAATCTATGCAAAGTTTTTGACAAATGTGACTGAAGTTCAATAAGTTCCAAAAGCAGAACTGTCAGAAGCAGTTTCTCCTTTCCAAATAAACAGCTATAAAATATAAATAATGCTATACATTTACCTGACAGCAATTACTGTTAAATGTAATAGGATTTCTTTCCAAATACATATATGCTTGGTTGGGTTTAAAAACAGGAATGTTATACAGTTGACAGATAATTGAATAGGAACATCTGGTAGGTTTCCAAATGTTTTCAAATACACTGATAAGGATGTCCATATGCTAATTATTTAACTATATCAAAACTCCAGCCCAAAATATGAACAGATTATTTCATTTGGAAACCAAAGGTGAATGAGGTCAGAATTTCAGAATTTAGCTCAATTTTAGATTCATGTTTGCCATAAACAAGCCAGAAATGTATCTTGTACAAACCTTCCAGTGCTGAAGGACAATAATGTGACCCATTCAATCATGTAAAATGCCAGGATAGACAGCGATTTCCCTTTAAGTGATGCCTGATTGTTCTTCCGTTTATCATCCTCTCTCACTTGTTGGCTGTTGTCATTTCATTCTTAATCAGACAAGTCGGTTCTTCCCGATTCCCCATCTTTACATTTTTGGACCCATCGATGTACAGTACTCACGTCAATACAGTCATCGCCATAAATAGCCTGCATTCGGCGATGGATTTCAATTGGAGGGACTCCTTTGGTGGTTAAAAACTCAATCACGGCACGTTGCTTAAAGCGTATGGCTGAGTACTCAGTGCAGGCTTCCATTTCACCAGCAACAGCCACCCAACCTTTTCTCTCTCTCATCAACTTCCCGCCAACTGAAGCGAAAAAAGAGATGCTAAAAAAAACAGGTTGGAAGTTCCAGCACTGCCATCTGTTGGCCAGTAAACATCGCGGCTGCTGCTTTTCTTTCAACCCCTACAGTAGGCAGCTGGATCTTACTTAAGGCCTCAAAAAACAGAGAGAATGGCAAGGTTCAGCCTGAACCGGAGGCCTGACTTTGAATTTAGACCTGTCTTTCTTCTTTCCGCCCAATCTGCCTCATAGAATGGAAGGGAGACCTACGTTTATCTATTATTTCTAAGGTGCGCGTACACTTATGCCATAGACACCCACCTCCTGGATATATATAATAAATAAATAATCAGCTGATAAGGGAGGGAGCTTGTGGCCTAGAGGTTAATATAACTGCCTAACATGTAAAACAGACCAAGTTCGAATCCCAGTAAGGGTATGGCTAGCTGATGAGAACTAAAAGCTTGAAATAGATCTATACTAGTCTCCATTTATTTATCAGCAAAAAAATGTTTATATGTGTGTGTGTGTGTGTGTACACATACATATTATTACAGTATTATTACATTTATTTGTGTGTGCGCGTATGTATGTGTATACATACAAATAAATAAATGTAACTATTGAAAACTGCCCTCCCAGCGACATTTCCCATTTTAAAGGGGGGGTGGTGGTGGAAAATCCTCCTTCGGGAATATTGTCACCTGTGAAAGAGTTTGCTTTCTTTTCCCAAAAGTTATCTAAGGTTTTACTGGCCAAGTTCTTCGCCGTTGTTTTTTTCTCGTGCTTTGTGTGTCGTATTTAACGTCTAGTCCCGTTTTGGTCCATTGTGCTCTATTTTATTATTATCGGTTTTTGCATTAAGTCTTATGCTTTAATTTAAAAGGTTATATTTTTTAAAGATCTGGAGCCCCAACTTACCTCAGAACCTCTCCGTCCCCGGGTAAGAATTCAAGTCGCGCTCAAAGAAATTTCCCCGAATTGAAATTCGCTTTTCCCGCCTCTTTTTGGTTCTTGCTCCTATCTCCCCCCCTCTTCACCCGCCCCTTTCCACAACTAACCATAGAGTTGGGGAAGACTAGAGCCACGCAGACTAAACTTCCGGTAGTCGTCAGGATTCTCTGGCGACACCAAATCAGTTCTGATTGGATTCAACAAGTAGACGGAGGGAGGGAGGTGGACGGCACAGATTGGCTGAAGTGGGGGAAAAAAGGAAGCATGGGGATGGCGCAGATTGGCTATTCGGCCAGTGGCTTTGGGGATATGATTGGCCGACATCGAGCAGCTACTGTAAGCAGAGGCAGAGCTTTAAGGCGGCAGCGCCAAGATGGCGTATCAGACTTTCCGGCAGGAATACCTGCAGGTGCCTCCTGTCACACGGGCCTACACTACCGCCTGCGTCCTCACCACCGCGGCTGTGGTGAGTGGGGGGGAAGGGTTGGGCTCCCGTGGTCGCTCGGTGGTAGAATAAGCAGCCGTTCGAGGGGAATCCGTAGAGCCTCCTCCTTTGACATACCTCTGCCTTGGCTATTGGGCAGATCTGTTGTATTTCCAGATCGGGTCGTGATGAACTCCCCCCTCCCCCTTTGGTTCCGATAATTAATTAGATTTATATACAGCCCGTCTCAGTATCCGAAGTGGCTCTGGGCGGCATAGAAACTTTGTGCAGCTTAAGTTTCCAAAAAGGGTTATTATATATCTGTGGCATTGAATGTAAACAACCTTTCCACTCCTGGGGACCCATCTGCTGAGAACCGACATTAGAACAGGCTATAAAGAGTTAGGATCCCTTAGAATGATTTTATCATGTTGCTGTGTAGATTAAAATCGGGTTGAGAAGAGAATTAGGAAAAAAGTGTGTAAAATAGAATCTGCGACCCAGTCCATATATAATCAAAATATTTATTCTTCCACTGAATAGTAAATCTAGTCTGAGAAACCACCTTCCAATCGACTTGCCTGCAACATAACTAAAGTATTACCTAGCTATCTTATCATTGGCTAATATTACCGTAGACATTTTTCTGCTATACACATAAACTCACAGCGTAATATATGGTACAAAACAAATGAAAATGTCAGATAGCTTTGATATTGAAGGTATATATGTATGTATGTATGTATGTATGTATTTTAAAGCACTGGCTTTTGGGATAGTGTGCACATAAGAAAAACACTCTTAGCATGTTTTCCTCAATGGCCAAACAAATATATGAAAAGCAGGACATAAAAGCAGTAGCCTTCCTTTTTGCCTGAAGTGTAACATCAAATTTCTATCTACAGATATTTATTACAAGTTTTATCTTGCTTTTTTAAAAGTTATCTTAAAAAGTGGTCTTTGCTATACCTATTGTATTCATATTGTTGTTTTGCATATAATTCTGAAATAGAACAAATGGTTCAATTATGAGGGTTCATCTTTATGGAGTGGGGGATGGTATTTTGATTTATGTTTGTGGGAAAATAATCCCAGCAGATTCTTGCCTGACTGGTATTGGATTAAATCAGATGAGTGTTTATGCATGAAGATGGATTGGCTATGAACCAGATTGCATTAGGTCATCAAAGATACTCTATAAATTCAGTAATATAACCTGCCTAAGGGTGGATTCATAAATCACAATGTTGTACAACTGAGACTTCCTTTGTATTTTTTTTAGCAATTAGAATTAATCACACCTTTTCAACTGTACTTCAACCCAGAATTGATATTTAAAAACTTTCAAGTAAGTGCTTTTTTGCATATTTTTCATAAAGACAAGTAGCATAATGCAATTTTCACGAATCAGAATTGCTGATATTTTTAACAAGTGGAATCAATTCTTGAGATTTATGGTAGAACTCTCTAACACAGGGCTGTCAAACTCAAAGTCCAGGGACCAGATTCGGCCTGCAGGGTGCTTAGATCTGGCCCCTGAGGCCACCCTGGAAACAGCAAAGAACTGGCCTGTGATGCATCTGCCAGCGAAAAAGGAGCTTGCGAGGGCCGCGGGCAGCCCTCCTGAGCTCCATTTTTGCTGGCACAGGGTTGCAGAGGCTGTCACAGCTGAAAACTGAGCTTGCAAGGACCATGGGTAACCCTCTCGAGCTCCATTTTCACTGGCAGAGGTTGCATGAGGCCGTCACAGGCAAAAACAGAGCTTGGAACCTGTTTTTACTGGCAGAGCGCTCAAACCACCACAGGTGCCCCTGAAACGAGTGACATTGAGCTGGCCATGCCCACCCCCAAGGTCAAACACAACCCTGATGTGGCCCTCAATGAAATTGAGTTTGACACCCCTGCTCTAATACCTACAATAATTATTCCTAATAATGTTATATGTTGATTCTACTACCAAATATGATTGTTCTGTAATTATACAACATCAGCATATTGCCCCCAACAATCTGGCTCCTCATTTTACCAACCTTGGAAGGATGGAAGGCTGAGTCAACCTTGAGCCAGTCAGGATTGCACTCATGGCAGTGGGCAGGGTTAGCCTGCAATACTGCATTCTAATCACTGCACCACCACAGCACCCTCAAACAAGCAAGCATTTGTTTAAATGTGTTTTATTAATTTCTCATCCTCATATCTCTTGCAGGTATGGAGGCTGATTACAAACTACCTTTTCTTTGGGCCAGTTGGATTCAATTTTTTATTTAATATGATATTCTTGTATCTTTTGCTTATCTTCTGTATGCAAGCTTACTTATGCTTCCATATGTAAGACGTTTTAGACATACCACAATGAAAGTTGGCTGAATCTTCTTTTCTAATTTTATTTAATATACTGCCATAATTTACATGGATTCCAAGTGGTTTAGGAACTTTAGAAGCAAGTAAGTAATTTAAGGAGGATGACACTAGCTGCAACTGATTCCTTCTTTGAAAAAAATATAAGCCATATGTTTTGCTGTATTTTAAGGGTAATCACTATTTCTTTTCATACGTCAGCAGTGCTAGGTCCTAATTTGTTTATGGATAAATCAAGTTTTGCTTAGAGTTAAGATGCCCAAAGGAACCTCTGTAGTAGTAGTAATTTGGTCATTCCTTGGTATTACCTCATAAGGCTTAGATTATGTTTGGAAATGAGGATATGAGGGGAAAAACCTACTTTGTGGTCTTAGCTACTTTCAAGATGACCCCCTCCAAACACTGTACCAGATACATTATTACAGATAGAAATTTTAGTTGCTAAGTGTTTCCTCATTGTAGCTCTGCTGAAGCAGGTAATACCTACTGCAATTGGTGATGTTATTCACCAAATTTATAATCTTTTAAAATTAAAATCACCTGGAGAATAGGAGTTCAAATCCTTCCTTAGGCATGAAGGGTGACCTTCGGCCAGTCATACACACTCAGCCCAACCCACCTCACAGGGTGGTGGTTGTGGGAAAAATAGGAAGAGTACTAGGTGTGTTCAGTGCCTTGAGTTATTTCTAAAAAGTGGTATACAAATAAAAATAGCATTGAAGCATTAGATGTTGAATCAAGAATATTCCTTTAGTTGCTTGATTGTTGCATGCTAGACATGTCATTGCTGAATATATTAACAAAATTTAAGATGAACATGAGGACTTATTTTGAATATATGTTAATTGATGTCAATTTCTCCAGATCCATTTTCTTTGTAGGAGGAATAGATTTACATATCTGAGTCAAATAATGTATTTTTTTTACAAAATTTACATAGCTACCCATTTTAAACAAAGCTAGGTGGCTAAAAATAATCCATGGAGGAAATAACTCCTCAAATCACAAATATAAAAACAAAAACAAAAAAAATTATAATAACTGTAATCCAACTGAGAATATGATCATTGTGATTTATTCTTGTTGCATCTGTGAGATCTGCACTGGTAATCTCCAAGTATAAAAGTCTCAACTATAAAAATCAAGCAATACAAAGTTAGATCTGTAATGATAGGAGGCAGATTACCCTGGTTTTAACTTGGTTACAAAAGCCTACATTAGATTTTTGGATTGTATGGGCAGAAAGTCCCTGATATATACCAATTCTGTGGCTTAGAGGTTTTAAT